TCATATAATATTGGCATCTTATTTTTAAGAGTTACACAAATACATAGTTCTTTTATTAGGTATAATAAATAATTATAAAGAAAATAAATACAAGTAGGTATTTGAACAAATTTTTGTTCTTTTAAAATTTTAAACATTATCTTAAAATAAATTATATACGACTAATGACTATAATGGGCATAATATATCAAAAAAGTATGCATGGGATGATAGTTAATGTAAAGTTCTTTAAATGTGCGTTTTAAATTTTTTTACAATAAACAATATTTAACAACGATACAATTAAAAATAAAAAAAAAATATAGTAAATAATCTCATAAAAATGTATAAAATATACTTTATATTACTATGTATATACACGACATTCGATGGCAATTTTGAAGAGATTATGTATTTTCACCGATCAAGACGTCATTTTTAGACATTTCTGTATAAATTTCCTGAAAATGATAAAACATAAAAGTACATGTTACATTACAAGGAAGATAAAATATCAAGGATTTGTGCCTGCATTGAATTGGGATCCGTAATACCCACAACAAAACTTAGAAAACAGTACACGTAAAATCCATAAATGATAACGCGTGAACGATATTTTTATATACACCCACTTTACTTTAAAATAATATATGGGTGGACTGAAATCCGTTAACATTATTAATTATAAAAACATAATTACATATTATTATGTTTTTTATATGTTTTTTACGTGGTTTATTTTCAATTTTGTGGTTATAATCTAGAGGTGCCCAATTTAAAGTTTGTGATCCACATGCAACTCATGTCTAATTAAAAAATAAACTAATATTCACATACCAACGATAGAATACGATAAAATTATAATAAGTATTTATAAACATTTTGGCTCTTAATGTCATTGTGTTTATTCGTGTGGCTCGTGGACATATTCATGTTGGCCACCCCTATTATGATCTTATGGTTTGTTTTCAATAATAATGCATTACAGAATATTGGCACGTATAGAAAATTATATAAATGAACATCTTCAACAACAATTCATAGATTTATTTTTTATTCGAAATAATTTTCGAAATAAATCCTAATATTTTAATACTTAGTTTTCAAGTGAAGTTTTTCTATACTAATTAGTGCCTATACCAATTAATAATTAATATCGACTATGAGCACCCAAATGTTTACTGAATTTTTTATTTTGGTTAAATATTTAATTACCTACGTACAATTTATAAATTAACCATCAAAAACCCAAGTAAATAATTTAGGTGTATAGCTTTAAAAGATATCTGTTAAATATTGCATAATATGAGACAAATACAAATTGTAACAGTCCTATAAAAAATTGATTAGTGATTTTTAATCAAGATAGTGCCAGTTGATACTCACTCAATCTTTTTTTCAATGTCCTTATCTCGACAAATAAATTGATGTCCAAATCCGTACTCAGCATCGTATAAAACAAGTTCAGTCAGTTCACTTTTCCGACTTGCCGTAATGTAATTATACAACTGTGAATACCAAAAACAGTATTATGTAAATATATATTAATTCATCTCAATATTATTCACATAAAATTTAAATGTATGTTGAGTTTATGGATAATATGTAAAAACCATGTTATTTTATATATAAGTGATTTTAATTATACAAAACAATACCTCTTTCAGGTATGTTTTTTACCTAGCATTGTGTGCATTAAAATTAAATGTGCTATTATTACAATTTACACATTTAATTTTTTGTTAAATTACAATAATACAAATATGATTACAGACCTGATAGTGATCACTTCATGCACTAGATATTTACTCACTGTTATTTCATATTTATCAGTAGTCATATTTAGCGTAACATGTAATTATTTTGTATTCATAACTATGTCAAATAATGAAAATTAATAATATATATTATTTTAATAGTTTAATTATGATGAATCGGAGTATTAGAATAGACAACATAGATACATCAATGCCAAGGATAGGTTCAGGTTAGGTCCATCATAGCATTATTTTAATTTATTTAGTGCGCAAAAATCCTTGTCGTAAATTAAAAAAATATATTTATACGTGTATAAACGAGTCTCGACAATTATATGTTATGTTATTAATTTTTGTTTCATAAAAAAATAATACCTATGTATATATATAGCCATATGGGTATTAATTTTTGTATGCTGAATTATTAACACACCAATTAAAATTCATAAGTTTCCACGGTCATATTAAAATTAAAATTAAAATTGGAAGGTACAATGATTTTTGATCAAAGAGCCTTTTTAATTGAGTTGGTAAATTAATACATATAATATTAGTGAGCATAGTGGATCAAACAAATTTATAAAAAATAAAAAATATTAATTTATGCAAATCTATGAAGAGTAATTTTATTTATTATTAGTATACGATAGCGACCTGTTAAATGTGTACCTACTGTACCTACTGTATAATGTTAAATTTGTATTGTATATTATTGATCTGGGGAGACCGGATCTATAAACTTTTATGAATATATTATTTTAAATTTCAAGCCAAATATTATTCGGAAGGGCTATAAAAAATATTTAACGTGTCACGAATAAGACCACATTGATCCAAATTATTACTAGAGCAGTAAAATAGTATTCAAACTAATATTAAAAAAAAAAAAATAATTAAATAATATCAATTTTTGCTTAAAACCTAGATTTTATAAACATATAGATTACAAAGATAATTTTTAACCAAATGCATTTAATACATCTTAGTGATAAACAGCTGAAATTGCAAATTAATTTATGTTTTAAAAAATAAATGATGAGTCATTATCAGATGATATGTATGAAAATCATTTATACAGTTCGAGAATATTGCTTAAGTTCATAAACATAATGATACAATGTAATAAAATATAATATAACTAATGAATTTTCAGTATTTCCTTTTGGTATAATGCTGAGTAAACATACTGCTCTCCATATATAAACAACTTCATGTATTTATACTTATAATATACAGATATCCTATGATGTTATAAAAATTTAAATCAATTTAAAAATTAAATATTTAAATAATATTTAAAAACTAATCTGAAAGTTTTGGAAAATAGTTTTGAAACTGAGTTTAATTCAGTCATATTATATCACTGTTATCTATATCTATAATTAGTCCAAAAATATAAAAACAGAGGGCTTAGCAAGAATTTAAATATAACTATATAATTATGTTAACCTTAAGAGGAAGCCACACCCACATGTGTTGTTTTCGTCTTACAAGTGCATAATTAAGTAAATTTTACGCTCAGCTGTTCCAATTTAGCTTTGTTATTTTAAAATTTAGAGTGAATTGACCTCTTAAAAAAATTAAAGGTACCTAACATTATTATCTAAGTTATCATAGAGGCTTTTCATTATATTTTAATTTTAAAGCGAGTTATGTGTACTTTTAAAATTGTAAATTGTTTGAATATCTTAGAATTTTTAAACTAACGGAGTTAAATTGGAACTGCTGAGTACAAAATTTACTATGTAACGCACTCGTAAGACGAAAACAACACATGCAAGTGTTATAGCGTCCTATTAATGAGTTAAAAAGTGTTATGATAATCAATGAAATTCTTCTAAACGATCACAACCACTATACATATTAAGGTTGTTCATAAAAATCCCAACTCATTCGAATTGTTCATATCATTATCTTATATCTAGAACCTTTAAAGGTATCATATTCATTACAGCTATTAATACACCATTATCTATGATTTTATAATTATTTCTATTTTGGTTAAATATTTTATACTCTAATACATGGGGAACAATGTGGATCTAATTTATCTAATGTAGATATGCAATTTGTTAGGAAAATAGGAACATTAAATTTGAAGGAAAATGTTAGAATAATAGTTGATTAATATGAATATTACAAATTTGAACAAGTAATAGATCAAAAAATAAAATGATAATTTATATTTTGTAAATGTATTTTTAGTAAAAATACTTAATTAATTCTAAATTTCTCCTGGGAAATGATCTCCAATCTAAAAATGGTTTAATTATTAATTTTGATTACAACTCTATAAACGTAAATAAACACGATACTAAACAAATTAACAGATTGTTGTGAAATTTCATAAAACCTACGTTCAATTATAAATTGTAATGTATTTACTATTTACAGCATAAATTATGTAGATAAAACGTGTAAATAAAGTAAATACAAAATAAAATATTACAATATTACCCAACCAAAATATAAAGTAAGACGTAAGTATAAAAACCCAATAATGTCAAATCCGCTTTATATAAACTACGAACAGTAAACCGATTAAGTAAGAAGAAACATTATTTCATCTTGAATCGCAGTCGGTGGAAAATAATGCAATTCAGGTTTTTGTCACACACCAGGACGAATAGCTATTGCATAAATATAGAATAGACATTCTCATGTAAAAGTAAAGTAGATGACCAGACACAAAATAATTCATTCATAAATAATCTTCGTAGCAATGAGATAGAATTCTATGAGCACACTACAGCTGATAGACAGGGGAAATAATTTAAAAATTTCTTGACCTTATGAAAAACTAACATTAAAACTATTTGTCACAATTAAAAATGTATTACAAATATTTATATACATAGAAGTGATCAAACTCCTCGGACTTTCACGTATAGATAATCTACAATCTCGTGTAATTTAATTAAATGAAGATGAACTAGTTTTCAGTCTTTTATTTGTACTTCCATAAAACAATTAAAAAATTATAGGATTTAGAAATTTAAACATAAAAATATTCCTTTAGAAGGGTTTCTGGATATATTAGAACTGGAGGATAAATATTGAAAAAACCAATAGCATCGAGAAAATTAAAAAAAGGGATAAGAGATAATCAATAACAGTGTTTGAAATGTTTTCAGTTATGCTAATTATGTAGGTATATTATATATTTAATTTAAAATATTGTCAAATATTGAAAAAAAATATTAAATTATGTTTTTATAGATTTAAAATAATTTTAATTCATAATTGTTACAAAAAAACATGGTCCATATGTTATATTATATCCATGTATCGTGTAAGTGCGTAAAATGATATTGTCAAATATTCAAACATAATAATATTTTTACGCTTACGTTTTCACTGAGCTGGTATGGTATTATAATGTCATCTCGAGCATGTAATATGAGCACTGGAACTTTCGCATTTTTCAAGTTTTGTTCTGTATCAAAAACAATTCCATTTTCAATGACTGGGTCAATAATTAAAAAATCGAACCAAGGGAAATAGCGAAGGACCTAATGAAAACACATTATTTCTCATTAATAAATAAATGTAATAGTTTAATACCCAACATATTTTAATGGACGAGCAAATGGCTATATTTGTTTGGTAAATATATCATACCATGCAAAACAATTATGAATAAATAAGCATATATTTAAATCACCGCAGTAGTTGAATATTCTCTAATTGCTTCACTCATTTTGTTAAAAGGAGCTTCTAAAATAAGTCCATTGGGATAGATGTTTTCTTTTTCCAATAACGAAAACGCATGTGCTCCAATTCTAAAAAGTGAATGAAACATATTTAATTAATTACTAGTCAGCTTAATAAATATTTTACTATTCTATTCCTCAGATACAGACATTTTTTTAATAAATTATTATGAACTTTGTAGCATGTATTTATTTATTAAGACTTTTTTTTTGTCGTTGACATATTATAAACTATCACTAACCTAACGAAACCTATACTATGTTTAACTAGATCACAGAAAATAACAGTTATTCATTAGTTGTCATGCTGTGCTGTACATGTTTTGTGAGTGATTAAATAAAATKTATATCCTATACAAATATGAATTTTTTTGGTGGGTAAGATTTTTTAAAACTTAAACAAATACATTTTAAAATTACATACAAACAATAGAACCAATTCATAACGCAATGTAATAYAATTAATCATCAGAATAGTAAAAAATAAAATATTAAGTACATAAATTAATAATAAAAAAATGTATAATAGTAGATTAGTAGATAAACTTTAATATTAACTAAAAAATACGAGTTTCTCATCAATACTATGAATGGATTTGCATAATAATAGATTGCATATTATATAAGTTAGAAGACAGAAAGCAAGTTTTAATCCAATTAAATTGCATACACTATGTTATGAATTACCAATGCTTAGGAATTTTTATCAGTGATTATAAACATTCATTTTCTGTGTTTTTAAGTTCATGATAGATCCTGAGTAGAGTTCAGGATTGCTAAAAATAGTCAATATCTTTTTAATAATGAGCATTCACAAAATTTAACTATACAAGGTGTTCCTTGAGGATTTACCCGATGCATCACGATATCTCCCGAAATAATGGTGATATCGAAATTCTAGTTTTGTTATAAGACTCACAGGGATAATAACTACAATTATTTCATATTTTAGTTTATTTTAATGTTTTAGTAAAAAAGTTAAAAAATATTTTTTTTATTTAATTATTTCCGAAAAAATCACTATAGCCGTTTTTTAGAGTTTATTTTTCTTAGATTTTTTTTTAAATTTCGAATTATTTAACACTATAGTGTTATCAAACATGTAAAACGCGGCAGTCCGAACGCGTGCATAGTTAAAATCATATCTTATTTCTTCAAAACTATGACAAATATTAAAAACCAGGAAATTAATGAATAGTTTAAAACGTCAATATTTTCATAAAAATAAACTCTACAAAATAGCTATTTTAATTTTTTTTGAAAATAAATAAATAAAAAAATTCATTTTTTACATTTTTACAAAAACATTGAAATAAATTTAAAAAATAAATAATAGTAGTTCTTATCCCTATGAATCTTATTATAAAACCAGAATTCTGATATCTCCATTATTCCGTGARATATCACAATGGATAGGTTCATCCGTGCGTGACACTGTATATATTTTCAATTGTTTGCTTAAAATATTTTTAATTATCTGAAACTACTTTTGGAAATTTAWATTGTAAGTTTTAGAGAGAATTTGTGTTCTAAATACAATGTAACACTGATTTAAAAATTAKAATTTTTCGAAACTAATTTAAGAGAAAATATMATTTCTTATATTTTTGTTTTTATTTTTTACATAGTTAATGATATCTATGCAGTATGTATATTACCCAGTGCCCAGAGAGTGTCCCCAACCAAAAATCGGAGATCCATGCGCGCGTTTGTAAACCCATTTAAATGTCTCCATTGCATCYAATACTAAGCCGGTCTCATCGATTTCGACGTCTGTAGAATCAGCATAACCTTAAACGAATTGGTTTTGTTAAAATAAAAAAAAATACATCAACGAAATTAGGCAAAAATAATCAATAATTGTACTGTACTTCTGTAGTCTACGGCTATCACGTGACAGTTGATATCCCGGAGTTTGCGATACAATTCTATCCGTTGCTTGTTCGGTCGGGCACCAGAGTTACCATGCATGTATATAATAATTGGTTCGCCRTGACTCAAAAGTTCTTCGTAATAAGATTCATTTGCTACGTGTTTCACTAACAAATTTCGCGGTAATAAATGCCTGTAATATTGCAGTATTAGTAGGATAATAATTTGACGTGTTAGTACTTAGTATAAAGTGAATAWAATACGAAAAAAAAATGTATTTATGAAATTATAATATTTTATTTTTATTTTTATTTTAAACGCCATACAGCTTTTACAATATATTACTTATTAATGAATATACATTATAACATATTTTTTTTTATATACACATCCGAACATAACACATTGAATATTAATAAATTAAAATKTATACCGTAGTACATAGTAGGCTCCTGAWAATTAAATTTAACGGAACAAAAACCTAAATTAGAAAAAAATGTTTAATTAGTTTGACTATTAACTAAAGACATAGCTYTCCTTAAAGGATCATCATCCAAATAATTTTTTGACACTGAAGTAAGGTAGTTGGGGTCACGAGAACGGGTTGTACCTGGAATGCGAAAACCTATTCTAGATAACAAGTATGGCGAGTCAATTAYACCAGAGACTAAACCATTTAAAAGTTTAATATCACTCTTATTTCTTCTTTCGCTTAGGRTGKATAAATTGAGTGCTATTAAGACGGGTTCATGATTAATGCCCATAGATCGAGAAACCATGTTTAAGAAACGATGCTGAACACGTTCAATTCGAATAATATCACATTTGGTCCTTGGAGACCATACCACAAATCCATACTCTACAATTGATCTAACTAAAGTAGTATATAATATTAACAAACATCTTGCAGACATGACCGACCCTGCATGTCGCCTTATAAACCCTAATGATCGCAATGCCTTGCCTACTATCCAGTCAATATGAGGTGCAAACGATAACGTTGGAGTAAAAATAAAACCTAAWTCTTCAATTTGGTTTATTCGCTGTAATATCACGTTATCAATAGAGTAATCATATTGAATAATTGAGTGATRTCTCGAAAAAGACATAACTTTACATTTATGAATTGCCARCTCTAACCCAACTGTATTACACCAATGGACTAACTTATTCAACGATTCTTGTAACGAAATAGCATCACTCTCAGATTGAACGCAATTAAATAATTTTACATCATACGCAAATAATAGCATTTTGCTGTCAAGTGCCCACCTTGTGGGACTCCGGAAGTGACTAAATATTCCGCGGATTTTCGATTAAATAAGGATACAAACTGTCGTCGACCGGTTATATAGGATTTGAACCAGGATAGYAGAGGTTCACCTACCCCCAATCTATCCWGAATATYAATTAACACAATATGGTTTATGGAGTCGAAAGCTTTAGAAATATTAGTGAATATCACATCAACTTGACTCATATTTTTGAAGCTATCCCTGATAAACGCAGAGAATTCTAAGGCACTAGTTGTCGTGAAACGACCGCCATAAAACCCATKTTGATTCGTTGATAAAACTAGTTTAAATCTACGTTCAATACATTTATTAACAATCTTTTCGRAAAGTTTACCAATTAGAGGTAAACCAGAAATTGGACGATAATTAGATACTGACCCTGGGTCTCCTGATTTATAAATAGGTGTTACCTGGCTCGCTTTCCATATTGATGGRAATATACCTTCGGCTAATGAGAGGTTAAATAAGTACAATATAGGGTATTTTAAMTGTACCCTAATATTAAATAAAAAATCGAGCTGATAAACCATCAGGCCCACGACTCTTAGTTGTTCTCAGGGATAATAAATTTTCTTCTACCTCCTCAAGTTCAATAGTAAGTCTAGAAGGCAGAAATATAAATGGTTTAATGCCAATACTTTCAGCATTCCAATGTGGGGGGATGGTAACRGTGATTTATAAACGGAATTGAAAAGAAGTGCAAATAGATTTGCAATATCTACGTCTGATGCAATAATATCACCATAATGCATCACATTTGGGATACCTGATGTATTTCGGCGATTATTGATAAACGACCAAAATTTATGTGGGTCTTCTGAAGAGAAGTATTTACCTTACTTAGATAGGACTCATATGCCAACCTTGACTCAAGTTTAACTTGAGCACGTAAAAACGAAAATCTATGACGATATTGCATTGTGCCGAATTGTTTTAGATTTTTTGTGTGCAATTTTTTTTATCAATGATTAAATTTTTCAATTCAAGTGTTACCCATTTGGGGAAAGTTGAGTGACGAAATGTATGAACTGGTACATATTGCTCAATTAATTTTATTAAAATTGTTTGTAGACGACTAGCTGCAGCTTCAATTCCAAGATTGTTAAACTCACTTTCCCAATTAATGGAGCTCAGAATATTAGTAATCGAGTTATAATCGGCACAATTAAAATTACGGAATGAGTGTTGATCATCCAATTGAGGTGGCACATCGTGYATGGAATATGTAATGTTTAATGGTGGATGATACTTATCTGGCATAACTAATGAGTCTAGTGATGTGTCAACAACTATGTCTAATTCAGATGTGAAAACAAGGTCTAGGAGTGTACCAGCCTGGTTTCTATTGTTTCTAAAGGAATTATTTTGAGAAAAATCTAAGAAACGATATACATCATCTATTGCCTTGACATTATCATTAACGGTACCCGATAATGACAATCCCAAAACACTATTATGCCAATTAACATTTGGTAAATTGAAGTCACCACATATAATTCCCATATTACACCCAGAAGACTGCCACAATTCATCAACAGTTTCAGCATGTGCCGTGTATAACTCGATTGGGGCTGACGGTGGTATATATACTCCTCCTACTAGTAATAAATGTTTCTTAGATATTGATAATTTAATAAATAGCCGTTCGACTGACTGTACAGCACAACATAATAAAGACGGACATAATGTCTGTCTCACCGCTATCAAGACCCCACCACCTCTAGTGCATGTATATATGATATATATATATATATATATATATATATATGATATATGCATTTCTATCAGCTCTAAATATTGTAAATCCAGTAAGACTTAATTCTGCATTCAGAATATCCGAGGAGAGCCAAATCTCAGTTAGTATAGTAATAATTAGTCATAATTAAGTATAGGAAAATTAGATATTGTGATATCATGTAACTTAGTCTGGAGTCCACGAACATTCTGATACATGATTTTAAGATTAAACTTAGAACTAAGACTAATATTAAGTAAGTTACATTGCAAATTATAAGATGAATTATTTTTATTATTATTTGAATAAATATGCGACTTAATATTACTAACAGGAATATTGGAATTAGTGTGTTTTTTTTAATAAAATCAGTAAATTCTATTAAAAAATTATCAAACAATAGGTTAGTATTAGTACATTTATTACAAATTGGATTAAAAGAAACATGCAAATTAGAATTAAGTAATTCATTAAGGTATGATTGATTATTGACTGGCCTCAATCCCGACCAGTGACTCCGTTTTTTGAGTGTGACTGTGTAACCGTAGGGACACCTTTAACATAAGATATTACTAAATTTGATTCGTCTGATTTATTTCTATTCTCGAGTTCTATATGAGCAGTACGGAGTTGCTCCCATTCCAACGAAGTCTTGTCACGGATTATTCGAAGACCATAGCGAATACTACTTCCGCTTCTAACTGCCTGCCTGAATTCGGATATGATTTGAGCTGCATTTTCTTTTGACTTACAAATTATTTTTATCGRTCTAGATTTCTTGGCCTTATTATTACCAAGGCGAACTAATTTGAAATCAATAGGTAAATCAATTTGAATGGGTGGCAAAGCACTGGATAGCTCAACACAATCATCGGAGATTCTTTGATTAATTGAAGGTGAATTCGACTCAGGAATACCATAGGTATATAATTACGTTATATTCAGAAGAATTTCTCTCAGAAATTTCGCGAAGTCGCTTTGACGACACTTCAGATGCCGAAGTGACGGCCGGTTTTGATTCCAACTGAGCCACTCGAGCAGAAAGTGCAGACGATTCCTGGCGAAGTGCCATGTTCTCGTTTTTAAGCTAAGAGATTTCATTTTTTAAAGAGGTCAAACATCCATGAAATTCTTGAAATTGGACTGATTGAGAATTTTGTATTTTTAAAATAGCTCCCATTAAGTCATCATTAGAGTAAGTATTATTGGTCCGTTTAGACATCGAAGTAGATGTACTACCATTTGAGGCAGTACGAATAACAAGACCACTTCTTAATGGGCTACTTTTAGAAGAAATATTGGATTTAGTTGTCTGGTTCATGACAAGGCAAGATAGGTAAATTGTTGAACAATTAAACTAAAAATACTGCCTTGAATGATTCGAATAGGCAAAACAATTTGCAGCAAATATGCGACCCAGAATAATTATAATATGTAACGGTTTCAAATTGAAGATAACGCTGTTCCATATTATTACGAGTATTAATGACACGGAGTGTTCGATCTGACCTTGACACGTGCCGGATAACTATTATCGCGTTTGTGCGCTGTGCAGACCAAAATATAACGATGAGATATAATATTGTATTATTACCTTAATAAGTCTGTTGAGATGTAGAAAATGGTCCTTAACGGAAAATACTTTAAGCGATCAGACTCAACAACGACACCTGATCACACACGCACATTTTTTACATATTATGTAGGATTTTTAAATTTAAAAAACGGTCAACTTTTTACAACTAAAAACGTGAAAGTATTTAACGTGTTTAGTATTTAAATCAATGAAGAATACACTTCTAATAATATGTCAAAAATAGAGGCAAAACACCAAAATTTTTGAAGTGTGAATTTATTTAATAATAATTATGTATTGCAAATATCTGATATTTTCAAAACACAATAACTTCATTTACGAGCTTCAGACAATTCTATAAAAAAATTGCTTTAATTGTTTTTATTTTAAATAAATGTTGGATAATCGTTCCCTGTGACACAAGAATAGTTCAAAATTAGAATCGCTTGCTCCGTATTTCACAAATAAGTTAATATAATATGTTATTGTATTAGTAAAATAATAATATAATGAATAAGTGTCATTAGAAGTGAAATTATGTATTTATGAAATTATAATAATAAATGGCAGATAAGCGGTGATATGCAAAGTATTAATTGAAGAGTGAGTTCATTTATGATTGTTTTGTTCAAATGTTTGTTGTATGCAAAGATAAATGAATTGGTTTAACAAGTTTTTAAAAATTTATAAAAAATCAGCACTGTAGTTTGTTTATTTTATATTTCGACTTCCAAGGAATGTTGCTCTAAATTAAAACAATTAACAGAAAAAAAATCGTCGAAAGTTTAAATTGAATACAACGGAATTTCCATTGGATAATTTATTTAAAGTGCTTACAATACAATTGATGTGTAATTACGACAAAATTCAGGTCAAATCCTATTTTATTATAATACTTGCTACTTAATTTTCACGAATGAATACATCAACACTAAAATCAAAATGTATTTGTTTATTTTTATAATTAAGAAGTTCATAATTTCAATCACTTTAATTGTCATGCATAATATTTGAATACTAATAAGCTTAATATTAATTTAACTATCACAATTCACAATTCTGAGTTACTTGACGTACATGAGTAAATGACCTGTTATAAACATTATGTTACCTAATACGTTATTCTGTTTCATTATTTTTTGATCATTAAAAAACATTGCTTACCATACTCCTAACGTAACACCGTCTTTTGTATCAATGTAAAAGTTTCTCGTCCCATCTAAACCATAGACTTCCGGATGACTGTAATTCTGTACGTTAGGCATATAGTCTAAAATAAAATAAATGTACATAATGTGCTCGCGATGAGTATTGAAAACTTTAATGTTGCAATTTTATTCAATTTTGGTGACTTAGCAAAGAATTCCATTTATGTAAGCATCTATCATTACGTAATAATTTATATAATAAATTACTATTTTAAATTTGATACTACAATAGAAGGTACAATACATGATGTCTATTTATTGTAAAATAATAATGATAACAATATTTTAAACGCATATTGTATTAATTGAAGGCAGTAGATAGCTTAAACATCCTGCAGTGATGTTTGATTTTTTTTTACTATAACAGTGTTGGAAAATATAATATTTTTGACAAGATAACGTGTTATGACATGTACATTTTCTGGAAATTAATTAATATCGATGTTTCAACTTACTGGTCATAATATATGGTTGTAGCAATCTAGTCCTAGGTGTCCAACAGACATTCTTGTTTGATTCGATGAATAATACACAATATTGTTTTCATTGAGTACAAAAAAAAAAAATATAGTCCCGAATATGTTGTTATTTCATAAATATAAGTAAGTATGTATCATATTTTTTAAGTGAAAACAATAATTTAAATATGCATGTAATTTTCTAGTAATTACCTACTTTCTTTTCTATAATCCACTCGTTGTACCTATCCAATGCCTTCAATTGTACAATTTTGATGTTTTCGGAGTTTGTAATAACATTAAAACAATAATATATTTAAATTTGTTTTTTCATAATTACCATGATTCAGGAATATCATACTCTTTTGAATTGAAGGTGAATAACGCCAAATAGTAGGTATGAGTAAGAAAATGATGACGAATGCAATACCGAAAAAGCCCACCGTCGTGCTACATGCCCTTAAGAAATACAATTTGCAATAATTATTATTTTAAATAAAAATTTGATTAAAATCGTTATCCATTATATGAATATTCTATTTTATGTACAAAACGTTTACTATATTCTACTACTATATTATAAATACACTAATATGCAACTGATATACAAATTATAATATGGTAAACAGTAATTATTCTTTTAAGTATACTATTATTATGATAAAAAAAGTGTGATAATTTAACTCTAGTAATGTATTAATATTATATAAAAAATAAAGACTAAAAAGATATGTTCACATTGTGTCGAGTTATATCTTTTGTATGCCAAATGTTTTTTTTTTAACTTACTTAATCATATATATTCATATTCAATTAAAAATATATGCTATAATGTAATAGTTTATCGTTATTTTATCACACTATAATTTAATGTTACCATGGATTTAACTATATTCAACTTTTTACTGTGTGGTTACATTTATTTTTATAACAGCTTTACAGAACAATATTTTAACTAAAAACTTCAAGTAGGTGCAATATCAATTAATATTTATATTGAAAAGAATTGTATGATATTTATTTTATGATAAAAACTATTGATTTGTATATAATTATAAAATATGGTACTTCAGGGTATAATGTGAACATATATGGTTATTGAAGCAAAACAGTATTAATTTTATGTCACAATTACAATTATTAACAATTTTTGAACATAACTTGTTATTACTTAATAATGTGTTACGTATTAAATA